TGGCAGCCCTAATTCAGAGTTTTGTTTAAAATGTATACTTTCATTGATATTTATTTTAAATGTGCAGTCTGTTGAGCTGTGCCTTACTGACGAAATTTGCATGCACCCAGTTGGTTATGAGGAAAACAAATATTATGCTTGATTCTAATCTGCTGCCAATTCTGTTTTACACTGCTGGCCTTGCAGCTGGTGGAACAAAAGTAATTAAAAATGAGTTCATTCGTTGGCCATTTTACACTGAGAATATAAAATCAGTAGCGTTTCATCAAAAGCTGAAAGTATTACCCCATGACCACCATGAAGCTGTGGGACAGAGGCAGACCTACCTGTTATCTCTCACTGTGGTTTTTAGGTTTTGTAGCGCCGGCTAACAGAGAGAACTTGTGGTTATGTCCAACTTGCTTCACTGCACTCTCCAGGCCAGATTTGATTTGATTACAGTATATAATGACTCAGGTGATCATTAATAAGTGAATCGAGCCGTGTTATTCTCCATGAAAACGACTTTGTGTCTTCAGGTGCTGACACTACAGTGTCCCAGTCTCTGCTGACTCAGCAGGGAGTTCCAGTCATTGGACTGTCCAACGGGAAGTCGTACTGCTTCAGCTCCTCTCTGGAGACATGGTGAGAAACACTGTGGAAGTACTCACTGTACTCGCAGATCAATAATGAAGCAGTGGATTTGACAGCTGTGATTAAACCATCTCTCTCAGGACTCTGATAGCAGATAAAAGTGACTCTCTGGTTCAGTGTGCTGACTTCAGGAGCTGCCTGCCTAGCCACGACACACCGGTGTCCTCTGGGCCTCTGGCTGTCATGCAGGGACGCAACCTCAAGTATGTCTTTAATTTTTAATCTGCACTTCTCATCTTCAGTGATATAAAACGTAATAAAGAAAGTCAATAAAAAAGTCTCGGTGCTCCCCGCAGTGCCGGTCGGCTGGCTTCCCGCCTCTCCTCCACCCCTCACCACCTGCAGCAGAGCATGACGCTGGCCTTCCTGGAGAATCAGCTGGCGTCTGCTTTGACTCTGCAGTCAGCACAGGAGTATCGCTACTGGCTGCTCATCTATGCCCGTTTCCTCGTCAATGAAGGTACCAAACTTTCAGCTGAAGGGAAAAACATCAGATTTGAGTATTGCAGATGCGTTCTGATAGAAAATTAGAAATGGTGGAAACTAAAACAGCCTAGGTGCTTTCAGAAAATTTGGACTCAATTGTCTGATTGAACAGGCGGCAACTGTAGAAAAGCTAGCTTGCACAGTGTCATATGTAGTACATAAGCCTTATATAAACAACTCTTATATTTCATATATTTTTCTGTTTTTCCTTCCAGGCTCAGAGTATCGCCTCAGAGAACTCTGCAAGGAGCTCCTGGGTCCCGTCCACAAATCAGCGGCTACATCCTGGGAGCCCACCACACTGGTACGACAACAAAAATCAGTCTCCTCCTCTTGATTTTGTCTTTTAACATGATCCAAAGTCCACTGAATATTAACAGCTTTTATTAGTATAGTCACTACAAAATGTGACATGAAACACAGCTTTTACTAAAGTATTTGTTTCAAATAGTAAGTGAAGCACAGAACAGCTCAGTTGTCTTTAAAGGGTTTATTTAGATGTTTGAGACAAGTCAGCCGAAGTGCAGATTGGACGTGGGCTTAATCTCAGATTAGTTGAAAGTTTGCACTTATAAACTGCACCAGGATCTGTTTCTGACAGCCTAATATTTTATCTTTGATTGTGAGAAACAATTTCAGAGGTTTGATTGGTATTAGTGGAGTCAAACTGAAAATAGTGAAAATACTACAAAAGGGACCTACAGCACAAATACGGTAGTGAGGTGATCAGCAGACGTTCAGACAGTGGAAGCTGGAGCTGATCAGTATCTGCTGTCTCTCATTAGACTGTATTGCTTCACTGTGTCTGTGCTGTTGGTGTCTTTTGAACCTTTTTGATTGACTGCCTCATTAATATTATGTCTTGCTGTGTGGTACCGACCGACCGTCCAGAAAATGTCTGCTTCAATTTGCCAATCTAATATTTTATTAGTCTGGTCCTAATTAGCACTACTTAGGATGTCTATCTGTGTCTCTGTTACACCTGGACAGTTTATGCAGCTTGCGCCACCCCATTGTCAAGGTGGTGAATGATTTCGAATGTAGAATTTTGAAATTGATACCATAGGTGTGTCTGCTCGGAGGCTGAGGGGTAACACTGGCAGCCGCTCGTATTTTTATTTTTTTAGTATTTGAGATTGCTACTTTGTTTTGATCATTTACTCATTTCCCAGAATCTCTGATACACATTACTGGTAAGTATGCTTGGATGATATAAACCGAAATGATCTGAACTAAAGAACACTTTGTAACGACTGCACACACGCTGTAAACAATGTCACTTCTGCAAGATGACAGCTCTGATTTCTCCCATATTTTTGCTTCTTTTTGCACACGAAGAGGAAAAGATGAGTCGCTTCGTACTCACATGTTCACTGTTTGACTTGTGTGTTTTTAGGGTCTACGTAAGCGTGAGCTGCTGCGGGAGGTCTTGCCCGTCATCGGTGAAAACCTTCGATTCCAGAGACTGTTCACTGAGTACCAGGATCAGCTGGAGTTGCTGCGCAACAAATAGCACGCGCTGCTACGCAGACAGAAACTGACACAAACACACACGGACTTAAAACAGTTCGGTTTGCCTCGGCTCAGCTCCGGTAAACTTCGACTGCTTTCTTCAACTTGAAACGCTGCTCTGGCTCAGACCTGAAAAGCACGAGCTGGGTGTCTTCTGAGAACTTTAACATCAGCCGGTCCTCAGCTTTTTGAGCGCTGGGACTTTTCAGTGCTGTCGTTCACCACACAGTTTTTTTTTTTCTGGTTTTCAGTTTCAATTCTCCTCTCCTGTCTTTATTCCTTCTAAATGTGATCTTTTTGACCTATGCACCTCCTGCCCTCCTAATCATGAACCTAGAAAAGGTAACTCAAGGGAGATGGTGATAGAAACGGTCGTCAGGTGCAGCATCAGCAGCTGTATGGAGTCATTCTCAGAGGTCTTGGAGAGAGATCAGAGGTAAAATGTAAAGAGAAATGTAAATTAGAACAGATTTATAGGAGCAATATGCTTGCACCAAAGTGATGCCAATTTAGTGAGAAATAGTCTCTCACCTGCATCTGCCAGGTGAAGGAAATGAAGGGCATCCAGACTACGGATCAGCTGGGTTTTTACAGGTTGGTATTCCCGAGTATACCATTATCTTTAAAATCAGCAGTTCTCATACCAAAATGCAAAAAGGGTGGTAAAATGCAAGGCCATGACTGAAATGCAGGATTGTTGTCTGTGAAATAAAATTGGAAAAATGAAAAAAGAATTTGTGCACAAACATTAAGCAGAAATTTATGTACGCACTAAACTATGGCTATCTGTGAGTCTGCACCTTCGATTGGTGCATTCGCCATTCTTTGGTCCTCCCTCCACTGAATAAGCTTTTACATTCTGTAATCTCTCCACAGTGTAGCTCCATTCTTAGCTGTTTAAAATAGATTTTGTTTGTAAAAGGATAATCCTTCACTTCTGCAGAGATGGGCTGGCGCATCTAGACGAAGGTGATTTTAAAAAAGTCATCGTCCTACAGAGAATGGGATCGGGTGCAACTGGGAAACAACGTCTGACGCTATGACTGATCATTAGGCTAAGCCAGTATCAAATCTCAGAATCTCTGGCTGCACTAAAATCATCGTAAACACAAATTCAGACAAAATAAAGTTCTTAAAAAATGAACGAAGCACCAGATGGTTTAGGGCATTGCAGGAATCCCTGGTAGATGTGCAATAGTTGTACATCGGTACAAGCTCTTGGTGCTAGACATTGTTTGTAAACTGTTAGTGCCGAGTGTTACAGGTCGAGAGAAAGAATCAGCTTATGGAATCAAAATTTCTTCATTATTTTTTTTAACTGTTTTCTCAACACAAGACACGTTTTAGGGTGTTGAGAAAATGGTTCTGTTTTCAGGCCGGTCTTAGTCATTGCACGGTGTTATACGGTGGCTGAATGAATCATAAGGCACAATATTAAATTAACCCAACAGTAGGCCTTTCAGACATGGGTAACATGGCTGACTTACCAGTCTGTTACAGTAATGGCACTCTGTCATTCGTAGGGCACTTTTACACTTTAACTGTGGCGTCAGACAGACTTACTGACAGCGGTGAAACAATGCAAAGTGATGTGATGTGCAAGAAATTTGTCATAGTTGCAAAAGTCTTGACGCGCATTTGGTAACAAGTATTTTTGGTATTATCTCCAAATCGAACCCACAGACTGTATAAAAGATGTATGCCGTTAAACCTGCAGTCTAATATTGGCCACCAGAGGGCGATAAAGAGTTCTAGTCCTTTGGGAAAGCTGCCCTTATACTTGACCTCTGTAAAAACTTTGCTGGTGAGTTAAAGGTCTCAGTCAATCATTTCAGGTCTTTGTCAACGTCAAGATTATTTTGTAAATTTCGCTTATGATTTCACAGTTGTTTGGTTTTTGCTCGTCACACCCAGTTTCAAAACACCAAGATGGCAACAGCGAAAAAGCTTCTCTCGAATCTTCAAATTGTGACCACAGAAGAATGTTTTCATGTAGAAAACTGTAATAATGAAGCCACATGCTATCATACAAGTTCTGCTTTTTTTTTGTTTGTTTTGTTTTCTGTCATGTGTAATCTGTTCAAACTTTGCAGTGATGAATTTTTCCTCTGTCCAGCTGAGCAACATTGCTGGCCCGCTTCAGTCTAAAAGTGACCAGTGTGCGGGCTCAGAATGATGGAAATGGAAAGAGGCTAATCACAGTTAAAAAATCTCTTAACTCGCATGTCCAGAGTAGCTGCAGGGTTTTATTTTTCTGAACTCCACCAAAAATGGTTCTGGATTTGTCAGATAATTATGTCTTATATTTGAAACATGTGGACATTTCAGGAGACCAGACTCGGTGAAATGTTCTGTATATGTGTTTTTTTTTTTTCCCACTTGGTTTGTAAATAAGCTGAACTCAGAAACACAACCAGAGCCGGTAAAGGCTCAGATTTCTCTTGATTTCTCTTCACTTTTCTCTGCTGCTGTGCAAGAATCACTGCTTTCAATTCAGGATTAAGGAGGGAAAATTGTTTTCTGATATCCATTAACTTGACATTTGACCCAAAGGTCATGAAACCCAGTGACACATTAATGAAGTTCATTTACCTTAATAGTACGTGTGTTTAGCCTTTTGTTAGTCTGCAGCAGCATTAATGCACTCCTCTGCCTGCTCTGTGTGATCACACAGGAAGCTTGTTTAGTGTTACATTTCACTTCTGAGTGTGGTAAGCAGCACAGAGGAATCCCTTTTACTTAACACCCCCCACCCATTTTTTTTTATCTTTTCTTCTTCTTTTTTTTATCTGTACAGAACTTCCTTCCTTATTTGTTTCATTTCTTTTTGTTGTTGTTTTTTTCGGGGGGGTTTCGCTGTCAGTCATTTTTAAATGTTTCTACAAGACGTTTTGTTTGATTTGTTTTCAATTTGTATAAGAAAAAGAAAAAATAACCAGAGACAAGCTGAAGTTTTTGCTTTGGAAAAAAAAGAGGAACGATTAAACAAATGAGGAACAGTTGTGGCTTGTTAATTTCCTGTGTGGTATTGCTTCATTTTGTGTTCGGGTGTGTTACTGGCTCTCAAGTAATGGGTCCTGATGCTGATAATTCCCAACCAGATTTCAGCTAACGTTCCCCCACAGCTCTGAATCCCATCATCAACACCACTTTTTATGATAACATTTTTTAAACTTGTTTGAAATTCACTTGGACCTTTTTTTTTTCTTCTTTTTTTTTT